GCTATCGAACCGTAACTTTCATTTTGAAGTTTCCGAGTAACATCACTAACAAAGGAATCCCACACTAGTCTGGGTATTCTTGGGCTTTCACATTCTTTGTAATGTAAGTTAGCAATTTCTTCCTATTTTTTTGGGGGTGTTTGCTAAATTCCCGCGTTTTTAGGCACAATTTTGCTTGGCTTTGGCTACTTACACGCTCTGTAGCTCACTTGTTGCATTTTTCGTTTTACGCTTTTTAGTGCCTTCCGACAGACCCGTAAATAGCTACATTAGCAAGCTGCCGGGGCGATTTTTTTGCATTGCCCACGACATCTTGGCATTTTGCCACAAGTTTACGTATATTACCAATTATTTTACGTTTTACCGGCATTTTACAGAAGTACCTGAGAATGAATTTCATGCTTCCAGTTTTGTGTGTGACGGGGAAGAGTGTGTTCTTTCACCCGCTACATCCCATTCGGGTCGCCTATATTTGCCAAAACCGCTCGAGCTGTCAGTATTGATATTCCTTGTTGGTGATGTTACTAGGATGCCCCCCACACGCTGAGCGCTACTGTGCCAGACCTTTTGTAATGCGCGGAGGAAGGCCTGCGCGGCTGTAGGGTGGTGTTGCTGTGGGACTGCAGGAGACATTCGCCCATACCAATAAACAATACTTTATTTAAAAAAGACGAAAAAGATTCACACAGCAGAACAGTCCGATAAGCTTGGGAAAACTGGCATGCCGCCGCACAATTATTTGGCACAAAAAACAATCACCATTTTATTACTTTTCGTGTCATTACATATCACGGAGCGGGGAATTCGAGTCACGAGACATATCACATGAAACCGAAGGGCAACTGGGCGAGACGAAGGGGTTTAGCCAGCATTTTCGTTTCCTTGCTGTTGACACCTTGTTGTTTTTGCAACACTTTCGATCCTGAGCCTCATGCTTTCAGTTATTAGCCACCGCTTGTTTGATATATGTGTTGCACCTTTTCTGGGGTCGTTCGGCTGGACGCCTACTTTCATGTGGATATCACACCCCATCTACATGTATTTTGTTTAAATGAAAGTCGAAATTACCTGAATAATTCAGGTAATTTCGATTGGAAATAGCTCAATTGATAGCAAGTGACAAAAATGAGTGCATCCTGCTGAGGCTCTCAATGACTTTTTTTTCCTTTTTAAACTGAGCTTTCTTGGACGAAATGAAATGAAACGGTTCTTTCTGAAAAGCCAAATTCCAGAACAGTTAATTACAAATTTCCTCATTTTGATCCACTGCAGCTATTTTTATTGTTTTCTTGTTTAGGTCCATTTTGCGAATAGTGTCTTTATGGAGCCGATCGATGGAGTGGCGAATTCACTAAGACGACGCTGCAAATTGAGATGTATTGTTTGTAAGAAGAAAGTTGGCGCCTGCTTACAGTGTTCCAAGGTACTTTTATTGCCTTTATTATAGTGCTGCTACTGGCAAATTATCAAAGGGTAATTTCTGCAGACAACATGTCCTACTTTTGTGAATTGGCTGAAAAGCGCAAGGAAATTATTGTTAGTATGTGTA